TAGAATAGAATAGAATAGAATAGAATAGAATAGAATAGAATAGAATAACAGAGTTGGAAGGGACCTTGGAGATCTTCTAGTCCAACCCTCTGCCTAGGCAGAAAACCCTAGATCACTTCAGACAAATGGTTATCCAACATCTTTTTAAAAACTTCCAGTGTTGGAGCATTCACAACTTCTGGAGGCAAGTTGTTCCACTGATTAATTGTTCTGTCAGGAAATTCCTCCTTAGTTTTAAGTTGCTTCTCTCCTTGATTAGTTTCCATCCGTTGCTCCTTCTCTTGCCTTCAGGTGCTTTGGAGAATAGCTTGACTCCCTTTTCTTTGTGGCAGCCCCGCAGATATTGGAAGACTGCTATCATGTCTCCCCTAGTCTTTCTTTTCATTAAACTAGACAAACCCAGTTCCTGAAACTGGTACGTTCCGGCAATAGGTAGGGAGAGAATCAAGGGAGGTCAAGGGAGAAAGCTGGATTGTAGAAATTGTAGAAATGGAGAGGTATGGAGGCTTGGAGAGGTTAGTAATGATGAGCAGGAAGAAGAAGAAGCCGGGCCCTTTTGCATCTATTTTATATCAGATTTTGCTTTTGAATGATCTACATAATAGCTACTGATGAGTCGGTAGCGGAAAAGTTCCATGTTTTCTATTGTCTACATCTCTGTGGCTGCCTTCATTGCTTAAGCCATGTTTGCTTTGTTGTAGCTTTGCAATTTTATCGGAAGAGTCTATTTGCACCCCCAAACTCCCCTGGCAAGGTTCAACGCTTGGCATTTCAGCCTTATATCCCCCAGTGTGATGGAAAAGGGGACTGGGAGCCCATCCAGTGCTATGAGAGCACAGGTGAGAAATATCTAGAAAGGCATTTGCCTGAGTAAACATTGATGGTCTTTCATGGCTGTAGATATTAGCAATTACATATAGTAATCCTCCTCTCCTTCTCCTTCCTTCTCCTCCTCTTCCTTCTCTTCCTCTCCTCCTTCTTCCTCTTCTACTCTTCTTCCTCTTCCTCTCCTCCTTCTTCCTCTCCTCATTTCCTCTTCTTCCTCTCCTTCTTCTTCCACTTCCTCCTCATCTTCGTCTACCTCATCCTACCCCATTTTCTTCTTCCTCCTCCTCCTTCCTCTCCTTCTCCTTTCTCCTTCTCTTTCTCTTTCTCCTCCTCCTCCACTCCTCCTCCTTCTTCCTCCTCCACCTCCTCCTTCCCCTTCCTTCCTAGGTTACATAGCAAAAATGAATCTAATTACTTGCATTATTCAATTCCTTGCATGCATTTGTATATAAATAATAAATACTATATTCTCCCTTTATTATAAACAATTCAAAATGGCCCAAACTTACCCAGTCAGCTTTCACACCCAAGGAAAGCCTGGAAGTCACAGTTTCACAGTTTCTAGTTCAGAACCTTATCCATTACCCCAAACTAACTCTCCGTTTTCAAAAAGATGAATAAACTTCATTCAGAGCACAGGGACTTCATTAAATACATCCTTAGATCATTCTTCCAATTGAAGAGGAGGAAAGCACCACTATCACCATGAAACTTGAGTCTTTGGGAAAGCCACGTAGCCTTCATAGGACTTGCTTTCTTCAGTGAAATGTATAATAGAGATTTATGTCTGCTCTGATTTTTTTTTTCTGTGGAGGCCAGTTCAGACAAACTAAATTGCCAGGGCACATTCAATACAATGATTTCTTCTTTACTGAACTATTGACTAATTCTACTCATGTACTGCAAGGAACATCTCTTTGTGAAGTGGTTCCAAAATACATATTTTTGTCCTTTATCACAGGTCACTGCTGGTGTGTAGATGAGACGGGACGTTATGTTTCGGATTCCTTGGTGACACGCTCAACACAACTGCCCGAGTGTAAGTCTTATTCTTTAAAGCTGGGCTGTTGCCCCTTAACAAGCAATACAGATAGGGAAGAGAATAGGATAATTTTATAAAATTGTAGGAGTGTCAACAGGGTGAAATGTTCAACTTCTTAATAAAAATATCACAGTAATCATTTTAGGGCATCAATAATCAGCTTTGCTTGAAATGGAGGTATGATGTTGCTTCAGTCAGTTGGAATGATATGGCTATTACAGAAATATTGAAAACCAACCTTATTTATTTAAATAATCTAATGCAACATCTGTAACACCATCCTGTCAGAGCTGAAGAAGTTTCTGGGATGAGAAGCAAAACGTCTTCAAAAGAAAAAAAACAAGAAACTTCAGTTGCCTCTTGAAAAAACACCTTTGGGACAACAATAGTGATAGGCTATCATATTAGCACTTCTTAGAATTACCAAGTGTTCATGCATGATCGCTTGGTCAGTCTAGGAAGCATAAGAAAAGGGAAATAGTCTCTGCAAAGATTCCTACACTTCTGCAAACGCATGTGACCTGTTTTCCACTAAAATAAATAAAAGCAAGCTGTCATGCCCTTGTTGGAGTCTGATTCTGAGGGGGAGATTGAGCAGCTGACAGGGAGTGGGAGTGTGGATTTGGTGGCTGTGGAAGAAACGGGGGACGGGCATAGTCTGCCTGGGCATTCAGAGGAAGACCCAGGGCCATCCCCTCTTCATCCTAGGGCACGTAGGGAGGAACGGAGAAGAGAGTAACGTGGCTTACGGGAGAGGAAAAGGCCCTGATCCATTTCATTAGTTGCAGCTGGGAGAACAGGACATAAGAAGGGTGTTTGCACACAGCACCTTGCTGGAAGCAAAGCGTGCATTATCTTTGTCGAAGCTTATCTGAGTTTTGGAGTCCTCCCAACTGTGTGTGCTCCGTTATCTTTTGGAAGTCTGCTATTTATTATCTTGGCCTGTCGTGTTAATTACTTCAGCATGGTTTGTGTTGGTTTTTTTTATTTCTAATTTAGATGTACTTTGGTTTTGGACTGCATTTCTTCCCTTTGTAAACTGTTTTTGGAAGAGTTTGATATCCAGCCGAGGATAATTGGACATTGAGGCCCAAGTTGGAGGCATTAAAGGGAATTTATTCTACTTTTGTGACTTTGTTATTTTTGTGTCATGCCCCGGATCACAACACAAGCAGGACCTCTGCCCATCTTAAACATTTTAAACCAGCTTTCTTTTTCTGGGGAAGAATCAACTGATCAGGGTTAATTTCTGCTAGCACTCAACTCTTCATGGAACTGCTATGAGTAAAAACACTTTCTTCACTGGATCCAAGATGAAGTTCTTTTATGCCACTCATGGGGATGTCTATATTAGAGATGACATATGGTATTAAGCTAACATTTGTTTTGGTTGAGTTACATTTCTTAGCCCATGTGTAGATTAATCCTACCTGGGACACCATAAATAATTTCTTATTCAGGAAAATACATTTCCAGGAAAAAAAATTGGACATATTGATAACCTGCCTCTATCCTAATGGGCTCTGGATTTGAGTACCATAAAGTCAGGTACTGTCATGCCCCTGGTGGAGACTGACTCTGAGGGAGAGGAGGAACAGCCGACAGGGAGTGGAAGTGTGGCTCCGAATGTTGTGGAGAAGGCTGGGGAAGGGCAGAGGTTGGCTGAGCAGTCAGAGGAGGACCCAGGCCCATCCCCTCTCCATCCTAGGGCACGCAGGGAGGAGAGGATAAGGGAGAGATGTGGTCTACTCAGGAGGAGAGGGATTTGATCCTCTTCATGGGCTGCAGCTGTTATAACTGAATAAGAGTTTGGACCTGCGTACTGGCAAACGCTGGAAACAAAGTGTGTAGATATCTCTAGTTTATGGTTCCTCTCTGAGTTTGGTGTCCTTCCCAATGTGTGTTATCTGTGGACATCCTCCAGCCCTCATCGTGCCTGGTTTGTTTTGCTTTTTTCTTTCTTTGTGTAACTTTTTGTGTGGAAGTTTTTTTGTCTTCCGTCAAAGATATTCGGAGCTTGGAAGCAAAGTGAAGGAATAAAAGGGGCTTCACCTGTTTTCTGTGACTGTGTTTGTTTTGTATCCCACCCTGGGTCATCACAGGTACCAAAGTTAAAGTTCAGTGTAAATAGTTGTAATTGGGGACTACTGTATTTAACAGAATAGGAAGGGACCTTGGAGGTCTTCTAGCCTAGTCTAGCAGGAGACGCTATCCCATTT